GAACTTTACTGACGATAAAGTTTCCCCAACCGACTGCACCCGTACAGAAGTATCCTCTTATCAAGACAACAGCATCGTCTATACTAGTATTGCTTATCAGAGTAACAAAATAACAGGCAAGAAAGGAAAATAGCAAAAAACTTTTGCTTAGATAAAAACAAAGACAGAGACGATTTGTACACAAAAGCATCAGCTAATTTCTTTTTTGACATTTGTTACCCTTCATTGATTTTTTTTGTTACTTTCATTTTGCATTTGACAGTGGGGTTCACTTGTTACTACAGTGAAAAAAAAGAGGCAGTTAAAACTTTGACTTTTTTCAACCAAAATTTCTCCACTATTACCACCACCACAACATGGATTTTCCAAAAGTGGTCAAGTACTTTGCTCCGATCTTCTTCATCCTCTACAATGTCTGGTGGTACCTGTCCGATTCAATGCTCGCCTGGTTCACCAAACTGTCCGCAGCCGGGGCACTGGCGATCATCAGCTGGACCCTGGCCTATTATGTACTAGAAAGCCTCTACACAGACACTGTGTCTCCGACCGGAAAAGCAGTGCTCATCACCGGATGCGACACCGGCTTTGGGCACGAGCTGGCCGCACGACTTGATCGATTTGGTAAATTTTTAAACATATTTTTTAAAATCGGCTATTTTAACTCATTTCATTTTTCTAGGCTTCACCGTCTTCGCCGGCGTCCTCTTCCCTGAGGGCGAAGGCGCCCAGAAGCTCGCCCGAGGCGCCTCAAAGCGGCTGAAGCTGCTCAAAATGGACGTCACAAAGGCGGACGAAGTGGAGGCGGCTATTTCGGCAGTGCGCGCCTCCGGCCTGCCGCTGTGGGCGGTGGTAAACAACGCCGGCATCGGCTTTGGCGCCTTCTTCGACTGGGGCGAGGACGTCGAGGTGTACCGGAAGCTGTTTGAGGTGAACATCTTCGGGGTGATCCGGGTGACGAAGGCGGCCATGCCGCTGCTTCGCCAATCGAGCGGTCGAATCGTCAATGTGGCCAGCTTGGCGGGCCGCATCAGTGCTCCCACAATGGTCCACTACAACATGGCGAAGCACTCAGTTCGAGTCTTCAGCGACACCATTCGACGGGAGTTTGCGCTGACGGGCGACGCCATCAAGGTGGTGACCATCGAGCCGACCTTCTACCGAACGGAGATCGTCAACGCCGAGTCGATGAAGCGGTTCCGCGTGAACGCCTACAACAGCTCGCCGGAGGAAATTAAGAAGGTCTACTCGGCCGTGGCGCCGGACCGGTGGTTCGACAAGGCGCAGGTGGTCATTGACACTGTCTCGCGGACCGACCTGAGCGAGGTGACCGAGGCAATGGAAAATGCGGTGACGCTGGAGCACCCGAAGCTCTTCTACCGCTGTGGCGGCTACCACGACGTGATCATCTGGGCGCTCTCCCATCTGCCGGAGATCATCTTTGACTACTTTATCAACAACCGCTTCGGGCATGCGGTGTTGAGCGTCTATGTGAAGGTCTTTGGTGGC